GTGCTGAATTGGGGGCTACATCTCTTGGTGCTCATGCTGGGATTCGAACTCGGGTACTCTCGTATGCGCTTAGCCTGTCGTCGAGTAGGCTGGTTGGTGTAGATAGTTGATTGTTGACCATTAACCATTCCACCACCCACGCCACAGTTTGACCTGACCCCCGACCTAGGGGGCGCCTGCTGTGCTGGTGACAGGAAGTAGATTGAGGAGGGGTATATACCTTTCTCGTGTATTCAGAGAGAAGGTGGGTGGGATACCTTGAGGGCCTTCCTTCCCGTCTCATGAGACCATGGGAAGGTGTGAGCCTCTCCCGCCTTCTCTTGCCGGGATGTTCAATATGACCTTGGATTATTGCCGCATTTGGATGGGAACGCTGAACGGCCAAGGCTGCTTAGAGACTGAAGGAGACCGATACTGTCAATTACGTCCATATAGTTGATCATTGAGTAGTGAGATGGCATTCATATATGAGGCAGCCGAGACGGTGGTGTCAGAACAACACCACCATGGCATGGTAACGTCAGAAGAAAGACATGCCCTGTTCATACGCCATACATAAGCCATTGTTCTCATTTCGATAGGGGCTTAACGTATACCATACCCCAGACTCTCATTACTTCGAGCTGCGGTAGGCATCCTCTTTCGCTTGAGACGTCTCTGTTGATCTACCGACACGGATGCTGCCGAAGATTGTCAAGTATGGAGAGCAGCGGTGACTACGCTTCATCGCTCGCTCTCGTACGTTCACGAGATTGAGTATATAAGGTGTCTATCTCCACCTCAACTTATATAGTCACGGACTGGTAGCCCCAGAGTCTTCTCCTTCACATTGTTCGCTTCGCAATTTTGGAATTTCCAATAAATTCGCTATGAAGATGTACACGTACATTACTGAAGCAAGGGTATCTAAAAAAACATATCCAACACAAAAGCCTGCTCCAGACAAACAAGATTATCCCCCCTCCGGAACTGAGCCAACACCTGAATGAGAAGACTCTGACTTGCTCCAAAATCTCATAAGGGTACTCCGCCGGCCTGATTCATGAGACGCGTGGTCACTGGAAGTTGAAGACCTAGTGAAGATGGTCGCCGTGGATGCGTCGCTAGACTTTCGAGTCGACGTCTGCGAATACTTCTGAAGGAGTCGCTTGATCTCCGACCCGGCCAGTCCACAGTTGGAAGCCGCCTGGAAAGCGTTCCGGCCATTTGCATCGGTCAAGCGAGCATCTGCGCCGTGGGAAAGGAGCACTTCGATCATGCCGATTTTGCGAGAGCTTTTTGTTGCTACAACCTGGATCGCGGCAATCAGGGGAGTGCACACATTGTTGTTGCTGAGATAGGGGGACGAAGTCTGCGATCTCTTCGTCTGATGGCAGATATTGGGATCGGCTCCTTCGCCCAGCAAGAACCGGACCATTGCCTCGTTCCCCATCTCGCAAGCCATATACAGCGCCGTCTTTCCCGAATTGTCGATGAGATCCAAAAGGTTAGGCGTGTCTTTGAGGAGAAGTCGGGCAACATTGACGCCGCCGGATTTGTTCTGACATCGGTGTAGGGGACTCAGACCTGCACTATCACGAACGTCGGCCCGCGCGCCCGTCTGCAACAACAGCCCAACGCTGTCACGGTTCCTGGTCGACGCGGCAAGCAGCAAGGGCGTCGGTAGACCAACGTTGCCCCCGTTCTCGAGACTGACCACATGTCCCACCATTTGCCTCAATACCTCGAGGTTTTCGTCTTGGATGGCCTTATGGAGCGGCGAGGTTCGTGTCATGAAGTCGCAGGCGTCGAAGCGGAAGCCGGTCGGGACATCGATGTCGAATCCGTTCTCGCGACACCACTGAAAGGCTTGAGAGAGCTCGCCCATGGAGGACGGCCTCCTGGCGTCTGGTACAGAGTCTGGATCAGGGGGCGACGCAGGACGGCTTGTCAGCGGGATGATGACGGTGTTGACCCAGACTTCCACACCGCGCGCTTCGTCAAATGCCCCGTCGAGTTGCAGAGCCTTGATGTACAAATCTGCCGTCTCTTGTACCAGTTCAACCGGGATGGGTTCTTGGTTCTTCCGGCCTTCAAGAGCTCGGCTTAGGAACGTCTTTGCCTGCCTTAGATTACCGAGTCGGATGTATAGGCTCCCCAGGTCATGGTATAGCCGACTTCGCCGTTCGTTGTTCCGAAACTCCTCGGGTTGTTTCACCTCTTCTTGGAGTAAGTCCTGCAGAATCCCTTTCGCCTCGGTGATTTCCTCTTCTGTTTCACTTCTTAAAAGGATATCGGCGAGTCGCTCTTTCATGACAGCTTGCTCGGCAAAGCTAAAGTCAACGTCGTATCCTGGCTGGCTAAGCTGTTCTCGGATCTCGATGCCCCGCTTCTGATATAGCGAAGCCCGGAGAAATATTCCGCAGTCTACCAGGCGGTCGACTATTTCTTGGTTCGCGTCGTACTGGTGACTGAGGATGTCTTTGCTTGGTCCGTCTGGATGTTCGGGCTCTGGGTCCCAGTCGTCTGAGTCTACGTCTCCTGATGTTTGTTTAGAGTCCTGGTCCTTTCCCGATGCCAACTTAGTGTACGATGAGTTGAACGACAAGAACGAGTGGTGTTGGTCTGCATTTTGCAAAGTGACTGCGGCTGCTACTTCGTCGGCCGACATTCGCCAGGCTTGGATCTCTCTTGTGACAGACAGAGATTCATCCATTCTTGTGTCACTTTCGTCGTCCCATTCCGTTGATGGTCGTCGTTGACCCTTGCCCGTACGTGAGATGAGGTTCGCGGCTCGAATTTCGTCGGTCAAGTTTCTGATTGCGACATGCACCTGGTCTTGAGACTTTTGTTGAGTCCATAATGAGCCGCTTCTAAAGTCAGTCATCCGATCCACCAAAGGGTTCTGCTTGAAGGGTTTCACGTACAGAGACAGGGTTATCAGACTGAGTTGAAGTACTTGTGTATACGACGTAATGTGAGAGACCAGATCGCGAATCACAACCGACTTCAACGTCATGGTAAAGCTTGCTCTAGCTTTATCAATCGGACCCGGCTTGTCGTCAAGTTCCGGTAGCTCTTTCTGCAGCCTGTCAAGCGAGGAGCGGCATGATTTGAGAATTTGGTAAATATCTTGGTGATGCTCTCTCTCAAAGGAAAGCTGATGCGGGTGCTGCTTCAGGATTCGAGCCACATTGCGCAGCGCGGCGTGTAGGTTCCGTATGGTCTCGTGGAATTCGCAGATGCTCGAGGAAATGGCTTTGCTCTCTTGGACAAACTTGCCCGTGCCTTCTACGATCTTGCCGGCTATTCCGACCATCTGCAGAGCAAAGGCGGCAATCGAAAGAGGATCCATCTCAATCTGAGTTGTTTGTGCAGCGCTGTTATCCGAATCTCTGGCTCTCCTCAGTCTCCTGAACGGCGGCCGCGTCCATTGACTTCGCGATAATCGATGCAAAGAGTCCTCGGGCGTTGAACGATGAACATGTTAGGGAGTCGTGGATGGGCTCGGTGCAATGTGCAAAGTCAACAAGCACTCGAGTGGAAAAGAACACACAGTAGAGGACGGGCGGGCAGTGAAGGGGCAGACATTGGACACCCTCCTCCATCTATCGATGAGGCAAGTACACTTGTGGTCCCCGCGATCGACAGATGTTACCCTCCCAAATGAGTCTTACTCGCCGAGACAAAAAATCGCTGCCGTCAATCTGGGGGGCATAGCCACGAAGGAACACATCACGAGCGTAGGGCAGGCTGCTGCCGCAGTCGGTGTAACGCAGAGTTCAGCTGGCCCTGCACTGCGGGCTCCTCAGTGAGTAGGTACTCCTTGGATGCCATTGTCTCACTTCCAAGCAAATGATCTCACTCCGTAATCGACCCCGACCTTAGAGCTTCTTTCTGCCCACTTGAGTAGGTAGCCGTGACTCTATACAACGGGCCCCCGCGGGGAACCTCGCAGGACCGGGGTCTACTCCGTAGTGTGGGAGTTGATGCAGTAGCCTTATTCCACTTGAACCCCAGTTGCCAAGCTTCACCCCGACTATGTCCTCTGGGTCTGTGGCGCAGCAGGATACCAGGCGATGAACAATATGCATATTATTCATAAGCAAGACATAGTGATGACAGCAGGAGAGCTGGGCGATCTGCACCTTGCAGCCCCAAACTCATCTTGTGAACGTCGATTGGCTTGGGCAAAGCCACAGTTCAAGTGCTGCCTGGCGCCGTACATCTGCAGCTTCCTCCCGTGTTCGGGATCGAGTACAAAAAACTCAGCGTCTGCGGGTGAAGTCAGTTGCGAGTGCCCGAGATGAGGCTTCTCTAGGACTTAAGGACTTCTGGAATGACACATCAAAATCCCAAGAGTTCGTCTCGTTGGTCAATGTAACCCCCCGATACCTCAATAGTTTAGCACGTTTCCCGGTGGTACAAAGGGCAACACTGCGGTCAATCTGGAATCTGTCACTCAAGGCTCCCTCCATTGCCAGATGGGATGGTGGATGGCAGGGAGGCGGAAAGGTTTGGCTTCGCCTCCACACTCACAGCCCTACATGGGGGGGGGGGGGAGGTGACCAGATGCCCCTCGCTTCCCTCTACTCCGCATCTGGTATATACGAGTAGACAAGTAAACGGGACGACGATCGCTGGCTCGAAGGATGAAAATGACGGGCCTGTGCATGGGCTGCCATCTGATTGTACAACGCCAGCCGAGGAAAGCCTGCGAGACAAAGTCTCAGTGAGACGCGGGACGCGGGACGTCGTCATTCAATCCTATTGGGGGCCATGAGGTCTCACTTCCTGGGCCATGGTTCATGCCGTTTCGCGCTCGCATAGGCGACCATAATGACAGTGCCCTACCTATATGACTGAGCGGCCTGGCTTCCGTTCACTTAATACCCAGGATAGGCCTGGCTCGCGATCGATTTCAGCCCTATATTGGCTACTCGTGATGCTACTTATCGTGGTATTGCTGATAAGTGCCAATTAAGTCCATAATCTCCCAGAACGATCATATTGACAACGGCATGTCTGATATCGACACTCTCGGCCAGGCCGAGTCTCATTCTGGCCATGACAGGGTTACAAAACAACAAGCCCGCCACCGGCATATCAACGACCGGGCGGTAATCGAGAACCCTCTCTGTAAGCTCCATGTCCGAGGACTCCAAACATTCAACTCTACTACTCAAAATCCCCTTCCCTTCTAAAGACCGCTTCTTTTGCTGACTCAAATCTCTCCATTTAGCTCACTATACCGACGAACAGCTAGAGGCAGATGTCACGTCATTCGCGGAGAGGTATCTGAACGTCGATAAGGGAGCTTTGATACGAGCTGCGCGTGTGGCAAAGGATATCAAGCTATATGACGAAGTTGCGAGAAACCCAAGCGGTGCGGCAGGAAAGGAGCTTCCGGTCCAGCTGACGGCGGAGGAGAAGCGGGCACTTGTTCGGGAACGCGACGTCCCGTTCAGCGAAAAGGGGATGTGGACCATCATCATTACTGTGTCCCTCGCAGCATTCTTGCAAGGTAGGCAAACCATCTTCTTGTCTTTGGCTCAATATCGGTTCACGGGCTCACCGAGCTCCCTAGGCCACGTGCAAGCGTCATTCAACGGCTCCTCTCTGTATGACACCGAGTTCGGGCTGAACACGACGGCAAAGAAAGACGACAACAGTGTGACGGGTAGCCATGCTGAGTTGGGAATCGATGACTGGAAGCTGGGAGCCGCAAACGCGTCTCCTTTCTTGTTCGCTGCGCTGCTGGGGTGTCCTCTTGCGCTACCCGTAAACCATTATCTCGGTCGTAAAGGGGGGATGGTGGTGGCTGCTTTTCTTATCCTGGTCAGCTCGATTGCTTCGGCCTTTGCGACGAACTGGGTGCATCTTTTTGGTATTCGGCTGGTGAATGGTATAGGTTAGTGTACACACCTCCCTTTTTCAAAGATATCACAATGCTAATGATGGGATCAGGTATGGGACTCAAGGCCGTCAGCACTCCAATCCTAGCCAGTGAGACCGCGGTTGGTTTCTGGCGTGGCACCTCCATTCTCGCATGGCAGCTGTGGGTAGCCGCGGGCCTGATGGTCGGCTTCGCCTTCAACCTGATCTTCGACACAGCGGCCAACAAGCGGCTGACCTTCCAACTCATGGTGGGCGCGCCCATGGTCCCCGCCCTCGCGCTGCTCGTCCTGGTCATCTGTTTCTGCGAAGAAAGCCCGCGCTACCTGATGCGCGTGTCGAGTCCCCGGTACGACCCGCAGCGGGCCTACGAGATCCTCAAGAAGCTGAGGAACACCGAGCTTCAGGCTCTCCGGGACATCTACCTCGTGCACAAGTCTATAGAGCAGGAGGAAGTGCCGGGCGGGGTCGCGAATCTCAAGTACATTCCGGGATTTGTGTCAACCGTGGTGGGATTCCTGCGGCAGTGGAGGCAGCTGTTTCTTGAGAGGCGGTTGAGGAACGCATTGATTAGTAGCTCGACTGTGGCGCTTGCCCAGCAACTGTGTGGTAAGACGCGAACTCTCTGAAGTGTGATTAGACGTAGATGAGAGCCGTGCTGACTTGACGCAACAGGAATCAACGTGCTGGCCTTCTACTCGGGCACGCTGTTCAGCCGCGCCGGTGCAGTGAAGCGAGATGCCATGTTCTTCAGTCTAGGCTATGGAGCTGTCAACTTCATCTTTGGGCTACCCGCCATCCGAACGATCGATACGTTGGGCAGACGGAAATGGCTGATATTGACACTCCCCGTGATGGCACTCTTCATGCTCCTCGCGGGCGTCTCCTTCAACATCCACAACCTGAATGCCAAGATCCCAGTGGTGGCACTATTCATCCTCCTGTTTGCGGCCGCGTATTCACCTGGTCTGGGGCCTATCCCGTTCACCTACGCGTCAGAGAGCTTCCCGCTATCTCACCGCGAAGCTGGGGCCGCGGTCGCCATCGCGGTGAATCTGGGCTTTGCCGGTCTGCTCTCCGTCTTCTTCCCGCGTATCAATTCCGGGCTGGGCGACGGCGGCTCGCTATACCTCTTTGCGGGACTGAATGTCTTGGCCCTGGTCATGGTCTTCTTACTGTTGGAGGAGACCAAGAGGCGCAGCCTAGAAGACCTGGACCTCGTGTTTGCTGTGTCGAAGCGACAGTTCGTCAAGCACCAGGTTGTCGAGTACTTGCCGTGGTTCTTTAGGCGTTATGTCCTGCGGAAGCACGAGTACAAGCCGAGTCTGTATATTGATCTGATCTGGGGGTCCAGAGGCGACGAAGACGAGCGGACACGGGCGAGGGATGCGCGGCGGATGGACGGGAGGAGAGATAGTTCCGAGTCGGACAGAGACAGCACTCACGCGTAAATAGGTTGAGGACCGGGCTGCGTGAATGGACGATGAATTCTGGTGATTGCAACAGCGTTGTGGCTGAGTTCACGAAAGCGAGAAAGCGAATTGATGATTTACTTATTAGTCCTTTTGGCGTGAAACTGGTCCGCAAATTACTCGTTGGCTTTACGCGTATACGAGTCAAGGATTATTGGAATTATTTGGTGGCAATGATACTTGGCTTTGGGTCAAAAATAGGAATGCCAGACTTGTTGAAGCTTAGGAAGAATTGTTACAATTGCTGGATTTAAAAAGTTCTTTGAAGGCGTGATGCACCCAGCATTCGTTGTTGGATTGTACCTTTTGGTACCCAGGGTAGATAGTTGTGTGTCCGTGTACCTATGTCGGAGCTGCTCGTGGAAGGAGCTGAAGCTTACTCCGGAGCCAGCGGGCCGGTCAGACCCACCTCCATCCCGTCAAATCCCCGATTATTTGGCGGCGTCAGCCCGGAGTTCAAGCGAGAGCCAACGCCGCGGCCCCTCCGCCTGACCCCGCTAGAGTCCCATGGGAAGGGCTCCCATTGGCTCCGGGGGTCACAGGTGGAACACGAAAACGAGCGAGGGTGGCAGGTGCAGTCACGCAGACGCTTTTTCCTACCTCGCGCTGCACTGTCCGGGACTCTGCAGGGCGTTTGGATGAGGGCTGCGACGCTGCGCTATGGCAGGCGTGACGATTGTGTCTTTCTTTAAAAGTCCAGGATGGTCTACTTCCCATACCTAGTTGTTAAGCCAAGCCTTTTCTCTCTCTTCTCTTTTTTGAATTACTTTACCTTGGGTTGCTTGCTTTGTTCTTCAACTAAACCCGTAGCCACGGAAACAAAACGGTTCCATTGTTCAAGGTCAAAGTAATGGACTGCTCGGCAGGGGGGTAGACCATTTGTACTCGCTTAAGGTAAAGGCCCCCGAAGGATTTAGCGCTTGGCGGTCGCTCAAGCCGTACGCTGGGCCCGATAAGGTACCTCCACCCGTCGACTGACATTGCGCATCCCGCTAATCAGGGCACCCCGTCAGGACGTCATCGAACCGTCCCAATTATTCCAATCTCGGACCTTTCGTGACCCGTGCAGTCCGCCGTCGTCAGTCGCTGCGCGTGTGTCCTGCTGCTCTCCTATCTCGAAACCGCAAAGTTGAATTTGTCTCTTCCTTCTCCAAGCTCCAGGACGTCGTCATTGCACCTTGGCGGCATAGCGAACGAGAAGCACTGCCAGATCTCGACAACACAAGCCCTCGCCATGTCCACATTTCGATTGACTATCGAAGACGGCCAGTTCCGCGACGGCTACGGTAGACAAGTTGTGCTTCGAGGCCTCAATGTCGCCGCCGACGCCAAGCTCCCCAGCGAGCCAGATCAACCCTCGCACATTGGCGACGACTTCTTCGATGGCGACAATGTCAAGTTTCACAACCGTCCTTTTCCCAAGGACGAGGCTCACGTTCATTTCTCGAGGATAAAGCGCTACGGATACAACACCATCCGTTACGTCTTCACCTGGGAGGCCATCGAAGCCGCTGGCCCAGGACGTTACGATGAAGAATGGATCCAGCATACGATTGAGATTCTGAGGATAGCTAAAGAATATGGCTTTTACATCTTCATGGACCCTCACCAGGACGTGGTATGTCTGACTGTTCTCTCCCCCATCATGTGGTTCCCAAGGCTAACAAACCAATCCTACAGTGGTCGAGGTACTGTGGTGGTTCTGGCGCCCCAATGTGGACAATCTACGCCTGCGGCCTCAACCCGCAGAGCTTCTCCGCCACCGAGGCCGCGATCGTGCACAACACATACCCGAAGCCCGAAGAGTTCCCCAAGATGATCTGGTCGACAAACTACTGGCGTCTCGCCGCCGCGACAATCTTCACCATGTATTTTGGCGGCAGGGATTTTGCGCCAAAGTGCATCATTAACGGCATCAACATTCAGGACTTTTTGCAGGGCCACTTCGTCGCCGCCTGCGCGCACCTCGCGAAGCGCATACACGAGGCCGGCGACCTCGAGAACGAGGTTGTCATCGGGTGGGAGAGCATGAACGAGCCGGGCTGCGGTCTGGTCGGCTACCAGGATATCGCCGTCATCCCCAATGCGCAGAAGCTGAAGAAGGGCTCGTGCCCGACGATCTGGCAGACGCTCCTCACGGGATCTGGCCGCGCCTGCGAGGTGGAAACGTGGGACATGGGTGGCATGGGCCCGTACAAGGTCGGTCGTTCACTGATTGACCCCCACGGTGAGATGGCTTGGCTGCCCGCCGACTATGACGACTCGAGATACGGCTGGAAGCGAGACGAGGGTTGGAAGCTCGGCGAGTGCATCTGGGCTCAGCACGGTATCTGGGATACGAAGACGGATACCCTGGTCAAGAAGGACTACTTTTCCAAAAACCCTAGGACCGGGAAAACGATCGACCACCCTGAGTTTACTAATACGTATTTCATGGACTCTTACCGGTTATACAGAGACGCTATCCGCCCCATTCACAAGAACTGCATTATGCTGATGCAATACCCGACACTAGAGCTACCACCTCAGATCAAAGGCACCGCCGACGACGATCCGATGATGGCCTTTTCACCGCATTGGTACGATGGTATTACACTCATGACGAAACGATGGAACAGAGTATGGAACGTGGACGTTGTTGGCGTGTTGCGCGGGCGATACTGGCACGAGGCACTCTCTGTTAAGGTCGGTGAGACTGCTATTCGGAACTGCTTCAAAGACCAGCTTGCGTCATTGCGGCAAGAAGGCCTGGATAGAATGGGTAATCACCCATGTGTTATGACGGAATTCGGTATCCCATACGATATGGGCGACAAGAAAGCGTATAAGACGGGAGATTACTCGGATCAGTCAGCTGCCTTGGATGCCAACTATTTTGGTGCCGAAGGCTCGGGTATGGAAGGCCACTGTTTGTGGGTTTACGTTGCAAAGGTAAGCAACCTCTCTCATGCGCGATGTCACCCTAGCTAACACACGTTAAAGAACACTCACGAGCACGGTGATCTCTGGAACGGCGAGGATCTGTCAGTCTTCTCACTAGACGACAAGACACTACCCATGTCGCCTCTCCCCCGCAGCCCATCACCCAACCCGTCGTCAGACCTCAAGCGCAACTCCATGAGCAGAGACGTTCCGGACGAATCGACCGTCACGCCGGAAAACCTGCAAAGCACAATCACGAACCCGTCGATATCATCCGCCCCCTCCAAGGACCCAGAGCTGACCAACGCGCCGGGCCTCCGCGCCGCCGAGGCCTTTGTGCGGCCGACCCCCGTCGTCGTGGCGGGCGACGTGCTCGAGTACGGCTTCGACCTGCGCAGCTGCACCTTTACGCTCAAGCTCAAGGCCGCCGCGCCTCCATCCGAGACGGCGCCGACGGTGGTGTTCTTGCCCGAGTTTCACTACCCACAGGATAACTGCACGGTCGAGGTGTCGTCGGGCAAGTGGGCGATCAGCATGGATGATGACGAGGGCCCGCTGCTGCAGAAGCTCAGGTGGTGGCACGCGGACGGGGAGCAGACGCTCAAGGTTACGGGCTTGGTGAGGCAGCATAACATCGTCGAAGGATCCGAGGAGGACATGGGGTACCTGGAGCAGTGCCAGCAGAACTACGCTAGGTGCAGCGTGATGTAAAGAGTGTGTTATGGTCAGGATTGGGATGAGAAGAGTTGCCAGGCGAGGTTATCCAGAGATACGAACAGGGTCCGCCACACGGCCCGCCCATGATGTGATGGTCAAGAGGTGGTTATTGCAGGCATTGTTTTTTCTTTACATTTAGAGCAATGAAGAGGGCGAAGGATTTTTGGCGGCTTTCAAGGCACACCTCTGGCTATCAGGGAGTTAATGGGGAGCATACTTGTTGGCTTATGATGACCTCCCGTAATTGTTCGTGATGTTTGAACGTAATGTTGAGTGGAGCGTGTCCCTAATCGCCCCTTAATCTTTCATATCTAGCAAGCAACTAAGACAAACCGAGAGACCCTGCAAATCCATCCGATGTTTCAACATCACCTTAGTAAGATTAGGTACATTAGTCTGCGATGACACGCATGTCGATGATGGGCTAAGTTTTGCGCTTAGCTGACTTGATTAAGGTCCCTACCCGATTCTCATTAGTAGTAGTCCTCCTACATCGGTTTTTCGGACAGGAATGGTCAAGCGGCAGTCTTTTTTTCCCCCCTTCCCCCTTCTTCTGCAGTCTACAATTAAACTTTTCTTGTCCTTGGTGGTCCACCGGGCAACTTGTCTCATGCTTCTCTGATGCAGCGTTGACGTGCGTTTGTGTCGGCTGCTCGGGTGGTGTGGTTCATGCACTCCCGGCCCCGGCGGCGGCTCGGCTGCAACATCATCATACATGGCACATCCGCGAGTTGTCAGGGACACGACGGTTCAGTTTGCGGGATGAGATATGGCTAGCGACATATAACACACCTTGGCCGGTAAAAAAAAAAAAGAAAAGGCCAAAAACATACAACACCAGGTATTCGCTGATCGTCACCGACTCAACTACTGATCTGGCCCTCATCGGCTTGTCTATGGGAGAGCGGACGGGATCCCGAATTTTCCGATGGGTATGGTCGTATGTGCTTGTTCGGTGAGGTCAATAGCATTATAGCGGAAAGACAACGTCAGGTGGAATGGAAATCTGTGTCGTCGATGATCTGTACGGTTGTGGATATTGGTTTCAGTGGTGGGGGATGACGTCGGCCAGCTGGGCCCTTTGCCCGGTAATGAACGAACTGTTGCTGGGAATGGGGTAGTAGTAGATGATGCTATAAGTGTGTTTTCTATATGTGGTTGATATGCGATATGGAGGTGTTTGGGCCTCGAGAGGGAGAGAGTAGCGATGCTTGGCGATTGCGCCGAAGAATAGGTACATTTTGCGAGAAACCATTTTTGACGAGACACAAAGATCTCCAGAGCAGAACATCTTTTTTCTTCAAAAGTGATGGTTGAGTGAAACCCATGAGCTGAGAACTCGCAGCTGCGTCTTGAGGTTGAGGCTGAAAATGCTCCAAGGCGAAGAAGCTCCTGCGGGACCGGGGGCGGGGACTAAGGCCGGCGGCCGGGTCTGGGGTAGACCATAATGCGGTACGGGTACTTCAAACGTCGCACGGTTGAGACCTGACAGAACTTTGGGCCTTGATTCCTGATTCTCTCTCAAGGACGAAAGAGGACAGTAAAGGATACAAGTTGGAGGACGAGGAGGGCACAAGGGGAGCCGGAGACATTCAAGATGGCGCTTGTCGGAATTTGGCGAATGAGACGTCGAGAGCCATGCTGGCGGTTGGCTGCATTTTGCGAGGATCGCGGCTCACCGGTTCGTCGGTCTGGCGGCGGGGAGGTTTGGAGGAGCGCTTGTGTGCCTTGCTGCTTTAAGAGGAGTGATTGGTTCTGGTTGGTATTCGCTGATGCTTTCAATACGCTTTCGATGATACTCAGTCATGTACCTCAATTTGTGCATGCCGATGAGCACTTATTCTCATGCAGTGTGCTGCATCTGGTAGTTGTGCATCTGAACTGCAAGCCCCTTACTTTGCGACTTGCAAATGACTATTCATCTCCATCGGTATCAAAAACGAGTGATGGCACCTCGTTCAATTTGAAAATATCGAGCAAAGGGGGTCGAGTTGAAATGAATTGTTCGTGTTAGAGCGGCAGGTTAATAAGGTAGCGCGAGGTGGGCACCCGCTACCCGGCCCCTCATGCAAGCCTGGAAAGGCCCAAATGAAACAGACGGGGCCTTGCGTCGGGTCGCGGGTGGATTCATTGATCTGGGTCTAGCTGCTTTCTGGAGTAGGTGTGTCTTACTCTTGGATCTTGAGATGAGGCTGGAATTGGATTTAGCGGACATTGGGATTTGGGGATGAAACAGAGAATCCTGAAAGTACCGGTATCTGTACGATGTTCGTACCTCGAGACCTCTCCCAGCTGAGTAAGCCGATGTAATGGTTGCGAGGACGTACCTTTGGGATGAGGTGCTGTGTGCTCATGCAAGGAATCAACCAAGCAGGCAGGCCCTTTCCATTTGTTGGTTGCACTGCGCGCGCCTGGCTTCCACTGGCCTCTGCTGCCGAGAACAAGACGGCAACATCTTGGACTTGGACAAAACACCACGAACACGGAAACACGACGACACATGAGCATTGTCTTTGATCGCACTCTATCTGTACAAGCTGTTGCCGACGACGATTCATACGGTATACCCAAAACGAGTCACTGACCATCACCGAGTCCTGACATCGTTCTAAAAAGTACCCGTAATTGCGCCTTTGTATCGTCTGCGCCGAAGCCCACACAGGATTCTTTACCAGCCAGAAACCCACGAGTCGCACTCTTCCATCCTACGACCAGCGCAAGAGGTCGTTGCCGTACGGATAGGCTGTACGAATAGCCCCTCGTCACACCCTCACGGTGCCTTCATTGGCCCGGAGATCTGCACGGCACATCCGCCCCCCGCCAAAAGCTGCGTGTGCGTGGGATAACGCACGCCAGAGCCGAAGCCAACGTCCACTTCCCACGCCAGTTTCGAACAGTCTCATCCCATCTACGAATGCTCTGCCGCCACTCGCTGCAGTCTTAGAGATAGCCTGCCAACACTAGCCCAAAGAGTTAGTGTAGACGCACCTCGTCGCGGCCCAGCCTCCAGCATTCACACGCATCCGCCACTCTCTAAGCGCGCTACAAAGTACTCACGCACTCAGGGTACGGAGTGTAGGTACTGTCCTTTCTGTGGGCTTGTCTTCTGTTCTGCCTCTATCTGCCCGCTTTTGCACAACATACCAGTACCCTGCCAGTCTGCCACTACCTATCCACATCCGTAAGCTGAAAGACATTGAACGGCTGCTACCTTACATTCACATACCACCCACCCCTCTCTCCCGTCCAAAGTCCCCATTCGGTTCCCGTCTTCTTCTCTTCAACATTCCTACAACCTGACGAATTCCTCCAGAAGTACCTAGCGCGCCCGAGAGAGTCAAACTCCAAGCAGCTGCTCGCCAAGACCACCAACACGATCTACGATAATTAGGCATAACGCCCTGGTGCCAATACAGCGACAGTCGCCGCCTTACCGCAACATGACTACGGTCTGAAGGCCCGCTCGCGCCCACCAGCCCACACCACCACCCCTGCCATGTGCCGCGTACCCATACCATCCATACCTGGCATACCATGAGCACCAGCTCGCGCCAACGCTCTGCGACCCGATCTGATACCCAAGACCGAAATTCGAGCCCATTCCCATCTGTGCCTCGATCCAGAGACGAGATACACAATCTCGACGGTTTCGTCTTCAACGTCAACGACTTGCCCACCCATACCTCGACGACGACCTCGACAACACCAAAGATCCTGTCTCCGAACATCAACGGTAACGGCGCGCTCTCGCCGTATCCTCAGCCGAGGAACTCCAACTTTCTTTCCGCCGGCGGTCTTCGCCCGAGGGCCTCGACTGCGAGCTCCGTTCCGACAACACCTCTACTCGGGCTCGATCCCGCGAGGCCAGCCACCAGAGCTGGCCCGCCTCCCCCGCCGGCCATGTATCAAAACACCCAGCGACATGCCTCTTCGACCGACCCCTCGAGACCCTTCCAGGTCCCCCCTCCACCGCCGCCTATGTCGCCGCCCGTGCAAGGCCAGATGAGCAACATGATGTCGATACCTCCTCCGCCCCCGAGATTCCCTTCTGCTCCTGGCGCAACGGGAGGAAGTGGAATGATGCTTCCGCCGCCTCCAGGGCCACCGCCTGGAAGCGCAATGGCAGGCCAAGCACCATGGCACGGCGCCTTTGGGCGCATGTACGACGGTCGTGGCGGCTTCAATATGCCACCTCCCCCACCGGGACAACACCAGGCCTACAATCCAAAGTTACACGCGCAGGTTGCGACGGGAACGACACTATCGATACCGCCGCCACCTCCACCGAACGAACATGTTATGTCGGCAACCTACATACCGCAAGGCGACACGTATGGCGAAGGCGTTGGAATACCTGGTCTAGGCGGCTTTGACGAAAATGCCACATTCTCGGCAACCTCTCAGAGCTCATGGCCTACCAACAGCCAGACCAGCGGCGATACGGCAATGACCACGCCGCAAGACGATGTGTCAGGAGGGAGGGACAGAATGTACGCTCAAGCAATGCACAGCCGTGGGATGTCAACGACCTCCAATGCTACGTCAATTAGCACCTCCAGCATCCACCCAGAGCTGGCGGCGCAATGGCCGTTGGAAAAGGTGCTGCTGTGGCTGGCTACGAATCAATTCTCCAAGGATTGGCAGGAGACTTTCAAGGGGCTTAATCTGCATGGTGCTCACTTCCTTGAGCTCGGTAGTATGCACGGTGGTCGGGGTAACTTTGGCATGATGCACCAGCAAGTGTACCCAAGATTGGCTGTCGAGTGCACAAACAGCGGGACGGGCTGGGATCAGCCGCGGGAGCGAGAAGAAGGCAAAAGAATGCGACGTCTCATCAGAAGCATCGTGACCGGCCGGCCGGCTGACCCTTCCAAAGTCTCGTCGCATGGCCGAAAAGAGTCGGTCAACCACGGCAATAACTTACCTAGCGCTGGGACGGATATGGCAGAGTCTCCCAACGTGAGTATGATTACCCGTGTGGGTGAACACCCAAA